AATAATCTTCAACTATATGTAGCAGCTTCCATGGGTAAGAATGGGCTTTGTTTGCTATGCATCAAGAACTGAAATTACTACTCAGAGAGAGGCACACCTAAATCTGGCCACAAAAATGGCCTAGCACATATGCCAGCACCGTTGTGACGAAGACCAAAGTCGCTATCGAGAGTTAAGTCTATCATATGCACGGCCTGCCCAGTGCCCCATTCACCACAATGCTTAGAATGATTGATGACTTTCTGCTCTGCAATGGGTTTCACAGAACACACACAACAGAGCCTCTCTTTGGGCCCTATGGCTGGTCCCTCTCCTCCTACTCTGGTTCCTTCCTGCCACCAGAATATGTCACCACCATCACAGTCTATGTCCCGTTCCACCCAATCTGCAGGAAGACGAGGAAATCGTGTTCCACGACATGAGGAAAACTATTAGAACTGACAGATGTGTCCCCCTGACCCCTGACTCCATCAATCCAGCTTGAGTCAATTTATGCTCTGGAAGAGTGGGTCTCCTAAAACTGCTATTCCAACTAGTCAGTGTGATTGATGAATACCTGTGATCCAAACACTGAAGAGGCTGAGTCAGAAGGCTTTTCAGGAGTTTGAGGCTAGCCTGGGGCACGTAGTTACATACTGAGTTCCAGGCCACCCAGGTCTATGGACTGAGACCTGTCTAAAAAGAAAATGAAAAATAAATGAAAAATAAAACACAAGTGAAATGTGTCCTCTTGCAGCTCTGGGGGTCTAGGGTCTGAAATCCATGTCTCTCCTCTTGAAGCAGGATATCCACAATGTCCCCCTACAAGCTCCTAGGGAATCCCAGCTGCTGACTGCATCAGATACTGGCCCGGGGTCACATCACTCTACCTGTTTCCTTGGCCATCCTGTCCTCCCCTGTGTGTCCCACAAGCCCTATCTCCCTCCCATGTGGACACTGGGGTTGGTATTTAGCACCCATCGAGGAAATCCAGCACAGTCTCAGACTCCCTCCATTTTCTATTCAGAGTCTGTGCCCTGTGATGTCAGCTCCTCTGGTTCTAGGGGTCAGTGCCAAATGATCCAGCAGCCAGTTATGGCAGAGGCTAAAGCTTAATGGCCACCAAAGTCCTATGTATTATAAGCTTGACTTTTAGGGTAGCACTATGGGAAATGTAGGAGATGGGGCCTAGTGAAAGATCTGTATGTCACTGTGGATGTGTCCTTGATATGAGTTGTGAGGTTCCAGTACCCCCCCCTTTCCTCCCCTTTGCATCATGGCTATGAGGCAAGGGTTCTGCTCTGCCACACACTCCCACCATGTTATACTGCCTCTCCAGACCCAAATGGATCAGGTCTATAGGATCCCGGAATAAAATCATAACCCAAAATTAACATTTTTCCCTTTTTAAGTTGATTATCGCACATGTTTATTACAGTAACAGAAAGCTAAGACAATTATGCCCCATGCCAGGTCATGGCCACATGGATAACACACCCTTGTGTTCGTTCCTTCTCTTTCAGTCGCAGTCCCTGTGCCCCAACACTTCCTACACTGGGACCAGCTTCTCCATCTGAGCGGCAGCACATAAGGTTTTTTTCAAGCTCTACTTTTCTGGTAAACCCAAAGTAACATTTGTAAACCAGGAAGACCAGTGCACATCCTTAATAATGGGAGTTGTGATAGAAGCCTAGAGTTTTCAAAAAGGTTTTACTCTCTTCCAGGGTATTACTCAATTGTGAAAAGAGAAGCAGACACACCAAGAAAACATGTATCTTTTAGAAAACAGGCATCTTTGGCAGTGGGGTTTACAATGTGTCAAAGAGTTTATTTCCACCCTGAAAAACATTTCCAGCAGAGTGAGTTTGGATGGAAGGAGAGTATCTGCTAAGTGGATACAATTAGGAAATAAACAGAAGGTATGGTGGTTTGAAGGAGAATGGTCCCTAGTTATTGGAACTGTTTAGAAGAATTAGGAGTCGTGGCCTCATTGGAGGTGTGTCATTGGAGATAAGCTTTGAGTTTCAAAAGCCCATGCCATTCCCAGTTAGCCCTCACTGCCTCATGTTTGTGGATCAGATGTGAGCTCTCAGCTACTGCTCCAGCACCATGCCTATCTGCCTGCTACCATGCTCCCTACCACAATGGTCATAGACCCCACTACCATCTGGAACCATGAATCCCAAATTAAATGCTTTCTAAGTTTCCTTGGTTGTGATTTCTTACAACAGCAGTAAGAAAGTAACCAAGACTGAAGGAAATTTCACTCTGCTCAGAGAAACTTACACAGGCTGATGAACATGTCCAAGTTCACTGTAGAGGATGAATGTTGACTGCAACAACACTAGGTGTGACTTTCAATATGCTTTTGATGTGCAAAGCAACCTGCATTTATTTCTCCAATGGGCAATGAATTGGGTCCTGGACATGTCTGGGAAGCAACATCACCCATCAACAAATCTCAGAATGTGCAGTCTGTGAAGCTGTGGCTACCTATATAGGTAGGAAGAAAGGTAAATGGGGAAAGAGGATAGAGCTTTCTACTATAAACCTCAGAGGCAACATCTGTGCAGTTTTTCCGATCAGGCAATTTTGTTGGTTCCTTTGTCTCAGAGACTTGTATAACTTCTAGGTTCTGGACAGAACAGGCAGCCAATCACACTGAACATGAGGGAAACCAAAGGGCAAATACCAAAAACAGAAGCTGTCCATCACATGCCTGCCTTCTATCAACACAGGGAAAGAACAAAGTCCATATTTTAGCAGAGACATCTTCTGAGTACCCTACCGCCATCTCCAAGATGGCAAGATCGAAGGAGTGTAACCAAACCTGTTTTGCCGCAGAGCCGGGAGCACCTACCTCTGACACAGCCGTGTTTAACAGGTGTTCATTGAGCTGCACAGCTGGGTCGTTTCTCTGGAAGAGTTTCCCTTGGGCAGTGTGTTTTCAACCTTCCCAGCCTACGCTGTTTCCATCCATTTGTAGCTGCAGTGGTCCACTCCCCACATCCCAGTGTTCTTTCTCTTTCCTCCTCCGGCTTGAACACGCATGAAGAGGTGAAGACGGACACACAATATGAACAAAGTGTCAGGGCAACGTTTTGTATAATGGCAACGTATTAGACCAGCATTTTGCTACTGCAGCGAAACATTTGAGGTAATCAACTTTAAAAGAGCAAAGGTTTGTGGTTTGGGAGTTTCCAGTCTATGACTGGGCAGCCCTGCTACGCTCGGCCTTGTTGTGAGGCTGCACATTCTGGTGAGGATCACGGGACAAGCAGAATTCTTTGTCTCACAGCCAGAGTGATAGAAGGAGGGAGCCTGTGGTCCCAAATCCTCCCTTGAGGGCATCCCCACTAAACTTTGGGAGCACAGGTCAAGTTCTAGCAGTTGGAACAGCTCCTTTCACATCTCAGTACTCTCCCCTCCTCCATGGCACAGAAAAGAGCCAACTTCAGCCAGGGAAAATCCACAGGAGAACCTCTGTGCTTCTAGAAGACTCCAGACATGAGCACAAGATCAAATGATTTGTGGAGTCTTCCAATTCTCCTTTACATAGTGTCAGCAAGCCTGAGAACACCCGTGTTTTCCAGCCCATAATCAGCTCTTAAATAATGATAAACAATGAAGGAATACATGAACAAGCAAACTAAAGGACTGAAAGAATTGTTGTGTTTTTTTTCCCCCAGTGCTAGGAATCAAAGCAAGGAGTTCACACTTGCTATAGAAGAGCTCTACCACTGAGCACCCCAGCTCAGGACAGGACACTTCTAAAACACACTTGACGTAAATGAACATACAGTATACTGGAAAGAACAGCAACAGAAAGCCTGAGGCTTCTAGCTCTCACACTGGCCTGCCAACTAATTTTGGACATGGTACCTTAATCCTCACATGCCCAACAGAGATGATAGCATGCTTCTATCTTTATAGATAACATCAACCACCAATACAATAGGTTATGATTTAGAAAATATATAGATCCATTGTTAGGATTCATTTGGTCCTCCATTCAATAAGCTGGGGGCACAGAGTGTCCATATTTTAAGATAGCCTCACACCAGGTAGCTTAAGCTAGCCAAAAACTCGATATCCTTACCAAGCATCCAGAGTGCTGGGATTTCAGATGTGAACCACCACACTCAGCAAGGATATCCATTTTTGGTCTGGAAGCATAATTGCACAATATCAACCTGAAAGCACTGATGTCATTAATAAAGATGCCATCCATCCACAAGTTCCTGCCATGTCTAGCTCTCCTGAATGCTTAAGGGAAGTTCCTTGTCTGTGTATCCTGAATAATGGGCATTAACAGCTTAGACACAAGATTGTAAAACATCAGTAGCAAACTTCTGCCCTCCGGGGTCCTCCCATTGTGCTGTAAGCCTGTATTTAAGACCTCCTACCCCCTTCAAGAAATGACATTCGACATTTAAAATTAAATATATATATTTGAATGAATACTGTGAATGTAATCTATGACTACTACAAATGTGATTGATATCATGAGTGTAATTTAAAAATTAAATAAATAAATTAATTAAAAAAAAAAGAGAACTAGATAGCTAGAGGCCTGAGCCATTAGGCCAAATAGTTTAAACAAAAAAAAGAAAGGAAGGAAGGAAGGAAGGGAGAGAGAGAGAGAGA